CGGCAAAGTAACCCTCCAAGAACGGGAATTAACTGTTCACAACATCTACAAGAACCCAAGGGGCTCACTGGAGGTTACTCAATTATTTGCTTCGGCCGCCGACCACGCCACACTCATAGGAGGGGATTTCAACGCACATCATCCCTTCCTAAGCTCGGCAAGCCCCACAAATGAAGACGGCCTACACCTATACACCACCTTTCAAGACACACCCGAGATCTGCCTCCTGAACACCGGAGAGCCCACCCACACTAGGGGAGGAAGGCTAGATCTAACCTTCGTCTCCAGTGCACTACAACCTTCGGCCTCCTGGCAGCTACACCCCACGCTGACCAGCGACCACTTCGCCACCCTAACAACGCTGAAGGTGAACAAACTCCCCACTCCACCCCCGCCGAGATGGAGATACAATACCCAAAAGGCAGACTGGGGACTCTTCAAGAAACACCTGGCTAAGTGGCGCGAAAAATCACAGCCGGCCGGCGCAGCACCCGTGGATGAGACAACCCTCCACCACCAATTGGTCGAGGCGTTTCACCAAGCGGCAGAAGAGGCTATCCCAAAAACAAAACCCACATCAAGACAGTACAATGATTACTGGTACTACTGTCCCAGGGTGAAAGAACTCAACCACAGAGTGAACATGGCCCGAAGAAACTACAGGAGACATTCCACGGAAACAAACAGACATCTCCTGCACGTCATAGTTAAGGATACCAGGGAAGAGAAGGAAGAAATATAAAACGTAAGCTGGCTCAAGTGGTGCTCCGAACTGAACGAGCACACCTCCCTTGGCAAGATCTGGGCCCAGATCCGAAGGGCATCTGGGAAGGCAACACCACCACCACCAACCCATCCCAACCCAGAAGAGGAAGCCGAGAGACTTGCAAAACTGTTCTCTGACCGAGCAGCAACGAAAAACCTCCCGAGACAGGCGGAGGAGACACAACGGCGTCTGCGACAGGTCAGACTCCAGATGATCGAAGAGGCCTGCAACAGTGAAGATGACGCCGACAGACCTTTCAACCAGCAAGAACTCCAGAAGTCGCTAAAACGAAGCAAGGACACAGCACCAGGGGCCGACAGGATAACCTACTCCATGCTTTCCCATGCCGGTAAAGCCGGACACGAGGCTTTGCTAAAAGTCATCAATGCTTCGTGGACAGCACAAAGACTTCCACCGGAATGGAAGAAGGCAGATATACAGCCCATTCCGAAGCCCAGAGAACCAGACAAACCGAGGCCAATCTCCCTTCTCAGCTGCATAGCGAAGACGGGAGAAAGAATGGCTCTCAACTGACTCAAGTGGAAAGTAGGCAGCCCACACCCTCACATTTTTGCTTACACCGAGAACACCGGCACAGGCAACAACATCGCCGAGATACTCAGCACAGTGGACTACAAACCAGCTCTGGTGGTCTTCCTCGACCTGGAGAAGGCCTTCGAACTAGCAAATCCACTGGCCATTACAACGACGCTCGCTGAAAAAGGCGTGAAAGGAAGGTTGCTGGGGTGGATCCAGAACTACCTCACACAGAGAGAAGCAAGAGTACGCTTTCAGGGAGCAACCTCAAGCTACAGGGTCCATGAAAACGGAACCCCACAAGCAGGCATCCTCAGTCCAATGCTGTTCAATGTCCTGATGGAAAATCTTGTCAAACTTCCTTTCAGACAAACAGCCAAGCTCCTATGCTATGCAGACGACTTACAGTTTATAGTAAGAGGATCAAACAGACTAGCCAACACGCAACACGCACTCCAACTTATAGAAGAGGAGTGCAACAGACTTGGACTCAAGATAAATCCAGCCAAGTCGAAAGCGATGGCCATCTGCACAGACACACCAGACAAGATGCTCTCCATACAAAACACGCCGGTAGTCTGGACCAACACCCACCAGTGTCTTGGAATCTGGTTTGACCAGAAACTCACCTTCAAGCCGCAACTCGAGTATCTCAGGCACAGGACGAAGAGCAGACACAATATAATGAGGTCGCTCACCAGCACAACCGCAGGAGCAAACCTTCATGTGCTCAAAGCCTACTACACGGCCACCATCAGATCGCTGGTAGATTACAGTGCTCCAGCACTCATTGGACTGAGAGAAGACCAAATAGCTAAGCTAGAAGTCATCCAAAATAATGCTCTCAGGACCATGCTCGGAGCACCCATGTGGACCAGAATTTGCAATTTGCAAATGGAAACTGAACTACCACCCCTGGCAGTACGAGTCAAGCAGGTGACAGCCGGTCTCCTCGCCAAAATCTGTAGATCAGATAAGCCCACAGCTGCCAAAATTCGAATCAGTGCCACCCTCCACCTCGACCACAGAGTGCGAGGGGCCACCTGGTCGCACGAGGCAAGCGAGGTCATCCGACACCTGCAAGCAGAAACACTCGTCAAGAACAACCAAGACACACGAGACAATGGTTACGTAGTTCCTCCACCATGGAGCCCTCCTCCAGCCACATTCAAAATTACCGACCTAGGCGATAGTAAAGCGAACCTCCAGAAGGAGGACCTCAAAAAAATAACTCTGGAAGCTATAGCCACCGAGACACCGGCTGATGCAGCATCATACTTCACAGACGGCTCTGTGGATCCAAAACATCATACATCCGGAGCGGCCTTCTACACCCAAGGTCAGACCCTCCGATGGAAACTTTCTAATGACTGCTCCACCCTACAAACAGAGCTGGTAGCAGTCTCAAAGGCCCTACAACACGCTGCAACACAACACAACAAGTCCATCATAATTCACACGGACTCGAAATCGGCCATGCAGGCGCTGCAACACAGCCAACCAAGAGACAACGTCCACATCATAACCTCGATTCTCGCACAGCTACAGGAATTAAAAAGACAAAACCGCCCAGTCGTCTTACACTGGATTCCCAGTCGTGTAGGGATCGGAGGAAACGACGTGGCAGACGAAGCAGCCAAGGCAGCTACACGTTCTAGTAGCGTACACTTTCAAGTTCCAGCAAGCGTGCAACAGATCAAGAATCACCTCAGAAAGACTAGCAAACTCCACATCAAAAAGAGCTTCCTTCACGCATTCAACGCTGGTTCCCAATCAGCCAAATGGTACCTGGCGGCTACAAAAGGGGAACCACCTTTCTCGGACAAGAAAACACCAAGACAAACCCAAGTCAGCCTTCATCGACTACGACTAGGGTACAAGTGCTCCTGGCAGATGATCGGAAATGACGTCATGGAATGCACCTACTGTCAGGAGCCAGCAGCCAACCCACTTGAACACTATCTCCTCGACTGCGAAGTCACACAAGACCTCTGAAACAGAACTCAAAACTCCCAAGAAGCACACGCAACACCAGCGGCCACTCTAACCCGAAAGGCCCAAACAAACCACATTCACCTCCTTCTCCGGGCCATCACACGATACCCACCACCCAGATAGCTTAGAAAGTATCCTCTCCCAGCAAGTGCGGACCCCAGTTCGGGGGGCGCGCCACTCCGAAACTGACCACGTCCAAGAGTGGGGGTTGGTGGTAAGCGTCCACTGATCGGGGGTCCGCTCACACTTGCAACCTGCAGTATCCTTCCATATCTGCAGGTAGGACAACCTACAATCCCAATCCGGTCTGGCTGCTCCAGGAGCTCCAGCCGGAACCACCGAACGGGCCGCCTATAGGCAAAGGCCCGTGTCGGACTACGGACCGACAATCTCAACAACAACAGCCAGGGAGACCATTCTACACTCGGCTACCGGACCAGCAACATCTCTCACAGCTCCTCACCACCCAGCTTCCTCAGAAACCTCCTCGCCCTACAGGACCTCTGAGCAAGCTTCTCCACCTAGTCACTCCTAAGCACTGCGCTATACAACAATATATATACAAAAAGCGCATTGTGAGTTTCTATTCTACCTCATTCCTGAGTGTGAGATATCTGCATGTACGTACGTTTGTGTGCCCATACTAAGATAATTGACAACTGGCCACATACAGTACGCTACAATACTATAGCCAGGCACCTCAGAGGGCATTACTCAGTTGAGTTTTCATACCTGGAGCTGGCAGATGCCCGCCTCAGTTGGGGTCAGAGTTTAAGGTTGAAGAAGCCTGAAGTTCAAACATTAGTCATGACAAATTTTTCTAGGGTGAGAGTTGGGAACTCCTGGAACAATTTTCCTGAGAATACTGTGCCAACAGACGGGCAAGGGGGGACCTAGTTGAGGTGTATAAGCATCTCAGGGGGCACTACTCAGTTGAGTGTCCTTACTTGGAGCTGGCGGACGCTCGCCCCACAAGGGGTCACAGCTCAAGATTGAAGAAGCCGCAAGTCCAGAAAACCGTGAGGGCAAACTTTTTCGGAGTGAGGGTTGTAAACTCTTGGAACAATCTACCAGAGAGTGTTGTGACGGCACCGAGTGTGAGCTCTTTCAAGAGAAGACTTGACCAACACTGGAGCGGGTTCAGGTACATTCAGGAGCCGGTGCATGCCCAGTATTTGCCAACAGTGCGTGACAGAGACGTGACCGATCGCCCGGGCGGCTAGCGAGCCGATCTTTTGGTGAAGAATATAAATGAAAAGAGACGTGACCGATCGCCCAAGCGGCTAACAAGCCGATCAGTGGCGAAGAGGATAAAAGTAAAAAAAAGTAAAAGTAACACCGACTCGCCGAGTGTGAGCTCATTCAAAACCAGACTTGGCTAACAGTGGAGCAGATACAAATACATTATGGAACCAATACATGCCCAGTGCTTGTCAACAGTGTATAACAGAGACGTGACTGACCGCTCAAGCGGCTAATACGCCGATGAGTGACGAAGAGGATAAAAGTAAAAGTAATATATGACCCTACACCACATGCTTCAAATGGCCCGCGTCGTCGTGTCATGACGTCATTGATGTAAACACAGTGCAGCTGTTATCACTACCCCAAGAAATTCCAGGTATAAAAACATGATATATAACTATTTTCCTGGAAGTAATGTTTTCTCCGCCATTAATGATAAAAGACACATTATCAGCCACTTTGTGCACATTGAGCCCTTGTAATAATGAGTGTGTTGCTAAAGTACATAAAGTGGTGATAACGTGCGTCAGTGAGCGGTGGCAGTGAGGCAGCTGAGGCTCAGGGAAGGTCGCCGTGTGACGTTGAGTCATCCTACACAATATTGTTAGTGGTTACCTTGAGGCAAGACACCTGTGAAAGGTATGGCTGAGTTGTAATTTCTGTTGACAATTTTGTGCCTCAAATGAATCTTTAATATGTAATGGAACATAGTTAAAGTGTTCCTTCTGAACACAACTGTACTCAAGATGGTCTTCCTGCTACAGGTCATCTCATTTGCAAAAGGGTTGTGACTGAACTGTAATGTGTTGTAAATCTTAAGCTCCATATATTATATGGGGTCAGTTTTGGTAAAAGTGTATTTTAGGGTTGCCACTTTAATTATTAGGTAAATTTGTAGTTTCAACCAACGACTGCTCTCGAGTTGGGCAATGTGTTTTTCCCGGTCCGACTAATTACCCAAATGTAGCCGCAATGAAGTCAAATAATGGTCCTACATGAATGAATCTGACTACTAACCACTTCTCGACTAGTATTTGGTGTCACAAAGTCACAAAAAATTGGAAAACTTACTTTAATCTGAGTTAATAGATCGGGTGCATGTACCGAGGGAGCGAGTAATTATCCAAATGTACCCAAATGTAGCCACAATGAAGTCAAATGATGGTCGTACAAGCGTAAATCGGGCTGTGAATCACTTCTCGATTGTTATTTGGTGTCATAAAGTCACAAAAAATTGGTAAACTTAATTTAATCTGAGTTGCGTTGTGTTAGGCTAGGTTAGGTTAGGTACATGCACTTTAAGTGATTTATTAACTCAGATTAAATTAAGTTAACCAATTTTTTGTGACTTCGTGACACCAAATACTAGTCGAGAAGTGATTGGCAGTCCGATTTATTCATGTAGGACCATTATTTGACTTCATTGCGGCTACATTTGGGTAATTAGTCGGGCCCTGTTTTTCCGATGGTTTAGACAATTTTAAGACACCTTTCTTGTTTCCCTCGCAAAAACAATTAAATATACCAGGGGATTCATGACAGGAATTCACCATTAAAAAGAACAATCAGAGTGTGGTGAGACTATACATTAAAAAGAACAATCAGAGTGTGGTGAGACTATACATTAAAAAGAACAATCAGAGTGTGGTGAGACTATACATTAAAAAGAACAATCAGAGTGTGGTGAGACTATACATTAAAAAGAACAATCAGAGTGTGGTGAGACTATACATTAAAAAGAACAATCAGAGTGTGGTGAGACTATACATTAAAAAGAACAATCAGAGTGTGGTGAGACTATACATTAAAAAGAACAATCAGAGTGTGGTGAGACTATACATTAAAAAGAACAATCAGAGTGTGGTGAGACTATAAGACAGTTCATAATGAACCCAGTGACTGCTGAGGAAACTTGAAAATAAATTAAGTGGAATAATATTAAACCTAGGAGAACACAATACAGGCCGGAATATTTGAGTATAATGGAAAAACAAAACTGGTGTCATAATGGGTTTTAAAAAGTTTTTTTTTTAAATAGCTGTGACTGTGGTGAGGGAATACTTTAAAGGCAACACATAGTAACAACAACAATGGCTGAGGAAAGCTGGAAAAAATTAGAATAGTGGAAAAGACAATGAAATTTTTCAGGAAGCAACACTAGACAAGCAAGGGTGCTAATGAGGTCAAACAACAGCTGTACAGCTAAGCTGACTTTTGATGAATATTATATTGCCACTCGGACACAAAGGTTTCCCATATCTCCGTACATATTGAAATTTTATCTATTAAGAGGAGACTGTAGGTGAAGTCATCCCAGTAGCTAAGTCGGTTTATGTGTAGATTAATGCTGCCAAATATTCTAGCAAGAACACACTGCTTTTCCACCATAATTTTTGTTGTTAATTGTGAGTGAATGTTCTCTTTTGGGGTAGTGTTTCTTTTTTATAATTTATACAATAATGCCGTCGGCGACCCATGGGAAGGGGAGTGTGTAGTGTGCGGGTCGTCTAAATTACATTACCATGCAATACAATACTTGATCCAACTCTAAAAAAATAGCATTTCCCCAATAAGGGAATATGTTACTTTAGGTGAAATAAGGATGCGTTAAATACTGACAGCATTATATAACCACTCATGGGGGGTCGAGGGGGGCGAAGCCACCCCATGCTAGAGAGTTGGGTATGGAAGTTGGCAATGTCACCCCAAGCACTGAGGCCTGGTGGATAATTCAGTCAATTCGTACATTTTAAAGGTCCTTGACGCTAACTCTGAGGCTGATTGTAGGAGTTAAGTTAGATACTGTACACTGTATTACCTCCCCTAGTGCGAAATTGGGGAGATGGCTACCGATTTTTCCCTCATCCAGTCATCCATAAATTTCCAGCACTTTATTAGAGGATGACCAGGAAGAGTGTGCAGTGCTATACTGTTCTCCATAATATATTTTTCCTGTTTGGTGCAACTGTTATACTTTTGTATTATATATGCTGTACAGTATTTATGATGATTTTTTGTGACAAATTTTCATTTTTGAATTGCCAGACAACAAGGATGGAAAGGTAATATTATTAGTAGATAAATTGTAAATGGTTGTGTCACTGAGTATAGTTGCAACATAGAGTACCGGTATAGCTTCTGAACTCATTTTACAATGTGTACAGAGTTGTAAAACTACCCACTGTATGGTACAGTATGGTCTGCTTGGTACTGTACTGTATTTACTTCTCATGTCAGGGGGTGAAATAACCAGCATTGCATTGTATTTAACAACAGCAAATTTTGATAGTTTGAAGCAAGTATATACTTATGTATCTGGAAGTGTTTGTGGTTTGTTCATAATTGTATAGCAGATTTTACTACAGTATTACTGCTTTCAAATATATTTTGCCCCTTGTACATTTATCACTGTTTTTAACCTTTTTTTATTTATTTGTGTTCAGTACTCCTGTAGGTTCAGTACAATATAATAACCATACAATTAGCTAAATTATTGTACAGTACTGTACTTGTATTGTGGTGCAACATTAGACCAATATTTAAAGACATACAGTCATTGCTCTTAAGTGATGAATTTTACTGAAGATATAAATTGACAAATACCTGTATGAAATTATAAGTGGAAGTGTGATAATTATGAAATTTGCTTTAATTACTTGTCTGTACTTGTATTTGAGTGCACATATAAGTCTTATGTTATTGGTACAATACTATTTGTAATATACCTACTGTATACTGTATTGTATTTCATGAGTTTACCAACCATGTACAGTATGGTATATTGCTAATATTGTAGGTACCATACTTTAATATTTGAATGTCGTAATGCTAGAGTTTGAGGAGATAGACTGCAAGATACATCAGCCAATCATAGGCAACCTATGCAGTCACATGACAGTAGTAGCCAATTGTAGCTCATGAGCACTCTCAGCCTACCCACCCATGCACTCGGCACATGAGGCGATCTCTTGGAAATTTGTTTGAATGCCGGGAACAGAGAGATTTTTCTCAGAATGCTCAGGATTTATGTTTCAGACATATTAATGTTTTTATCATGTGTAGCCTTTATATTTTGTTGCTCTGTGAGGACAAATAGTGCTTATACGTGAAGCCATGTCTCTTTTTTTTTCAAATTTTTAATTTATAAACCTTCGTCTTTGTATGTTTAAACTTAAATTTTTTTTTTATCAGATATGCCAGTAATTTGCTGTCCTTTATATTATGAATGATATTGAATGTTAGAGAAAATGTTGCAGCCAATCTGTACAGTATACTAGTGAGAGCAGGAGCATCATTTAATTTTTCCTTGACGGGGCAAAGTTAGCATCAGAACCCTGTCAATGTATTTGTAAATTATGGGTCATTTGGAGGCCCTGAGTCAGAGAAATATAATGCACTATATTGTATACGTACTGTACAATACAGTACTGTATTACCGTATTTTATTGCTGTTCACATATTTACTGCAGCTCATCAAATATGCCGCTGGAATGGCTGTTTGGTCGGAAAATGACACCAGAGGAAATGCTGAGAAAGAATCAGCGTGCCTTAACCAAAGCCATGCGAGATTTGGATCGAGAGAGATCAAAGATGGAGCAACAGGAGAAAAAAATAATTGCTGATATCAAGAAGATGGCAAAAATGGGACAAATGGTAAGTTTGTTGTGACTTTTATGGACTACTGTTTATATATATATATATATATATATATATATATATATATATATATATTGTATAAAAAGTGTAGAGTACTTTTGTACTGGTGCAGTACAGTACTGTACTGTACTCTGATTCAGTACTGTACAGTACGTACTAATTATTGTAGGTTGGAAGAAGAAAGATTTTTTTTATTCCATAAGATCATTTCTGTAATACTTTACATTGTATTTTTATTGTAATTCCTTTATTTTTATAATGCTGTTAATTGTTGTAAACTATTTAAACATAGGATGCAGTGAAGGTGATGGCAAAGGACCTTGTTCGGACACGACGGTACACCAAAAAGTTCATCATGATGCGTGCACAGATCCAAGCTGTATCACTTAAAATTACAACACTGAAGAGCCAAAATGCCATGGCCCAAGCAATGAAGGGGGTGACGAAGGCCATGATGAACATGAACAAGTCAGTACTAATATTATATGTACTACTCCATTTTTTGTGACTGCCAGACAATATTATGTTTTCAAGGGATAATGCTCCAGTTGTCCAGGTTTTACGATACTGTTTGTTGTTTAGTTGTAAATGTTCTGATGTTATTCCAACAGGTATTTGATCAGTATATTGAAATGCAACTTATTTTTTTCTTTTTTTTTTGTCCACTCTTCATGTGTTCCTCTTGTAATCTGGCTTTCCCACTGTCAAATCCTTTTCCTGGGTCTTTACAGTAATACCTATACCTTTTACAGTACCATTATATATGATGACTAGCAAAATTACCTGGCTTTGCTCGGGTTTTATAAATATATATATATATATATATATATATATATATATATATATATATATATATATATATATATATATATATATATATATATATATATATATATATATATATATATATATATATATATATATATATATATATATATATATATATATATATATATATATACAGTTAACCCTCACTTTACGCGGTTAATGTAACCCGGAGGGTACCGCGGAAAGTGAGGAACGCGTAAAGTGAATAACATAACATATGGGATTAATTGAAATGGAGTCCGGGCCGATCCCCAAACTCCACTTTTTGACGACACACAACTATGTTGTAGTAAAAATTTTATCTTAACTTTATGATGGTATGAAAAAACAAGTAATATAGAAGAGGTTAGGTTAGGAAAGATAAAGGTTAACATAGGAAAAATAAAGGTAAGGTTAGAAAACTAAAAATTAGGTGTAACACTTACGGTAGTAGAAGAGATGGGTCGGCATACGGGGATGGAGGCTGGTTCCGAGGCAGAGGGCAGATTACTGGCCCTCAGGTGAATCACCATTACTAGGTGAATCACCATCACTGTCACTTACAGTTGTCAGGGCTTCCCTGACAAATCCCTCAAAGTCATCTTCACTGCCACTATCACTGGCTTGGGCTGGCTGTGGTGGGTTGCGGGCGAAGAAATCTGTTATGCTTTGCTGACGGCTGGCGTTGATGTTGTCGTGATACACCTTGATGTACGGCTCCATAGCCTGCACCAGCCGGGTATGGAAGACTTCATAGCGGTCATCGTCATTGTCGCGGGAAAGGAAGGACTTCATCTTCTCTGCACACTCCATGGCACCCTTGATATCACTATAACTTAAATTGTGTTCTTCGGAGACTGCCGCACCTTCTTCCTCCTCTTCACTGACGTGTTCTTCTTCCAACATCTCGTCGGCAGTCACTTCAGGATCTCTGATCACCTCCAGGATGTCGTCGTTGGTGGTCTCGGAGAAGCCTGGAACTGTAACAGTCTGCGCAGCTTCTCTGGCAAGGTCCACTGCTACTGCAACATTCTGAACCTCACCAGTCACAGATTGACTCCTCCTCTCACCTGGTATTCCATGCAACACATGTCTCCATGCGTGACGAATTGTAGCAATAGACAGCTGATCCCATGACTCCACCAAGATGTCCACAGCTTTCTTGATGTTAAATACTCTCCAGAATTGTTTGAAGAGTATTTTTTGCTCAGCCAACTGTTGATCCTCCTCTTCTTCGCTCTTGCTATCGGTGGTGGTGTCACTCAGGTTACGCAACTCTTCCCTGGTGCTGGTGTAGTCGTTCAGGAGCTGGAATTTTTTTGTTGAGAATGCAGCTTTCACATTGCAAATCAACTCCTGGTCCATGGGCTGGATTAAAGACGTAGTGTTGGGAGGAAGGAAGACCACTTTTACGTTGGGGTGACGATCTAACAGTAGGGGCGAGTGTCCTGGTGCGTTGTCCAGCAGCAACAAAATATTAAATGGCACATTCTGTCGCTCACAGAATTTTTTTACATCGGGAACAAAACAGTCATCAAACCAGGAGAGGGACAGTGTAGAGAACATCCACACCTTACGTGCGGTCAGCCAGTGGACGTTTAGCTTGGTCATGTCCATTGTTTTGTAGGCGTGTAGCTTGCGTGCTGTGTGGATCACCGATAACTTGAGCTTACAGGTACCGGAGGCATTGGTGGTAAACAGGACGGTGATGCGTTCCTTCTGCATTTTCCGGCCCCGAATCCTGCTGGCATTCTTCACAATGTAGGACTTGGAAGGTAGTTTTCTCCAGAAAAGACCAGATTCGTCCATGTTAAACACCTGGTCGTCACTGTACTGTCCTTCCTCCATAATCTCACGTAAAAACGGAGGAAATTCCCGAGCCGCAGCACAATCAGCACTCGCTTCTTCACCACCAATGTTTATATTGGTGATCTTGTTCCGGATCTTAAACCTCTGTAACCACCCAGAGGAAGCATTAAAGGGTTTGGGCTCTGAAGTTCCCATCTTTCGTGCCACTGCTATGTACAGTTCACGTGCGTAGTCCTTAACAGAGCGCGTGTCGACCACCATGTTCCGTCGCGCCTGACGCACCAAGTACCTCGCAAGTAATTTTTCTGTCTTGAGAAGCACCTGGTTGTGAAAATACTTGATCATAGAAGCACCTGTAGACTTTGTGATCTTCATGTGCTCCTTTATCTTGGCTGAATCCTTCTTTATAGTCCGGATCGTAGATTCGTTCACGCCATGCTGGCGCGCCAAATCAACCTGCCTTGTTCCTTTCTCCAACTCTTGGATGATGCTATACTTCACCTCGTAGCTTAAGGAACGTCGTGCCTTCTTTGGTTTAGTGCCGCTGGGTCCAGGTAAGGAAAGGTTTTTCTCTGGGGGTGGTGGTCCGGCGGAAGCCATTTTACGGAACAATGGATGCGCGTTTACACGGAGTGGCCTGGAGGGATGAAACTGCCGCGGCTAGGTCAAGCGTCGTCTCTCCTCCCTCCCTCCCTCCCCCGGGTGGACACGTCATAATACTTTAAGCCAATTACAGCTAGCAGCAGAGGGGGGTAGGGATGCATGGCCAATCACAGTCCGATGCGTCATATGACGTCAGTGATAACGCAACAAAGACACACACTGCGCAACCTTACCGCGTGGCTTGCCCAAGCGGAGGGAGGAGGAGGGAGGGGCGAGAGCACAGGCAGGCAGCCAGGTGGGGCGAATCTAAAAATAGCGTCGCGCCGGACACTCTCCGCGTAATGGGGTTCACGCACCGCGTAATGTGAGCACGTTAGGTTCTGGCAGGGTACCGCGTTAACGTGGAAACGCAGAATGTGGGACCGCTTAAAGTGAGGGTTGACTGTATATGAGAAATCGCGTTAAGTGAAACCGCGTAAAGCGGGGTAATACTGTATCTGTGTATATATATATATATATATATATATATATATATATATATATATATATATATATATATATATATATATATATATATATATATATATATATATATATATATATATATATATATATATTTATATATTTATATATTTTATACATTTTTATTTTTATTTTTTGACAGGCAACTGAAGCTCCCACAGATCCAGCAGATAATGCAGGAATTTGAAAAGCAGACTGAAATTATGGACATGAAAGAAGAGATGATGAATGATGTTATAGATGACGCCATGGGTGATGAGGATGATGAGGAGGAGAGGTAATGTATTATAGTTCAAGCTTTAACTAAGTATACTAAGTAGTAAAAGTAATAAAAGTGGTGAAACCCCACAATTTTTCCTTCATCATTGATAATTAAACAGTACATTAGAAATTATAGGAAATGAAGACAGATGGTATAGTACAGGACAGTACTGTACTACATTTACCATTCCAAGATTATGTCTTGCATGTGGAAATTAATATGAAACATAAATTCTTTGTTGGTTAAAGGTGTTATTCAGATAATCATTACTACAAGGTGATCTCACTATGTGTTAATTTTACAAATGTTAAATAGATTTGTTATATGCTGCCACCATTAGCCAACAGCGTCAACCAACTGGCACAAAAATGAAATAATAATACCTTATTTTACGGCATATAAGGCGCACTTTTTTTTCCAATTAAAAAGCTAAAAATATCACCCTGATAATATATGTTTTCACTTCACACTAATGAAATCATTACCATTACTTGGGTTTTCCTGGGAAAGCATTACTGTATGAGGTAGAGGATGTGAAAAAAAATCCTACTAAGTGTTGGATGATATTGCTGATTGTCTTCTTTTACTTCATTGACAGTGATGCTATTGTGTCCCAAGTCCTAGATGAGCTTGGCCTCCAAATGACAGAGGGTTTGAGTGAGCTCCCATCTGCTGGTGGAACACTTGGAACAACTGCTGCCTCAAAGACACCTGTAGCTGTAGCAGATGCTGCAGATGAAGACATCCAGGCCAGATTGGATAATCTCAGGAGAGAGTGAATATAAAAGGATTGGGAGTGCAGTATGATCAGTGAACATGAACTGCTTTTTCACGTGTTGATTATAAAGTTGTTATTAAATTGTATAAAATAGTCTGTATGATCCACTGATAATCAATCTACATAATGGCAACAAATATATGGTCACAAATACTATATGTAGTACTGTACATGCTCAGACACTTGATGTTTGCATACATGAATATGCAGGCAGTCCCCGAGTTACAAATGCCTGACTTATGAATGAGATCCCAGTATATTCATCACAAAAATCAGTTCCTAAAATCACATTTTTTATATTAATTTCATTAGTCTATATTGTTTAACACCACTTTATTCACAGTATCTTACGGACAGGGTCCAGGAATGTAACCAGTTCATAACTCGGAGACTATCTGTATTGGGATATCTTTGGTTGCAAATGAATGTATCAAGTCTAATGACAATTAAAATCTTTTGAATAATGTTCCTACTAGAAGAAAAAACAGTATTTACCACTTCTTAAATCAACAGTTTTTATGGCTTTTATAGTTATTGGTTGGCTTTAGTTATTAATATGACAGTGTATTGATCCCATTGTACTGATTAACAGTAAACAGTTGCTTCAGATTATTTATTTTACTTTAATGTTTATTGCTTGTGTTGCAGGTGAGATAAAGGAATCACTTTGTTTTGTATGCAGGTGGGTACTGATTGTTCTGCAGATCAATGAAACAATTTATTGGCAAGTCTGCACAGTATACTGTTTGTAGAAATGGACTTCACTCAAGTCTACCCTGATGAAAAATTAAGAACCAGAGAAGAGAGAAATATTTTCTTATTCTTAACCTCGTGTCCTAGGTGGGCCAGATGAGTCATAGTATCACAGTGAATAGAAAATTTATTCCAAAAGATCAACAGGATGCAGGTAACATTTAAAGAGTATGTTCTTTTAATAATTTTATGTATTATTTAGTAAGTAAACATTCGTGCGATAGATAAAACAGATCTTAATAGCCAGTAGTACGATGTTTGAATTATTTTTATTTTTTTTTTACAATCAAGTGTGGTAATATTGTCGTTGACATAATTGAAATACATCATGTGCAGCATGCTATAACATTTTGTAGCATCTGACATTGCTAAATATTAATTAGTGTGATTTAAAACTGAATTTTTTATGAATAATAAAATAATATATATTTTTTTTCATACACAAATATGTCGTAAAGTAGCATAACCATGCAAATAGTGTATGCAAGTAAATCAGTCTTTAAGTTCCTAATGTTACCATCTGATGAAAACTTCCCAGTGAGTTAATGAGTATCTTCTTGGATAAGAAAGGGTTACCTTATATGTGGCCTTCAAGTAATTGTTATGTTCTGGTCAGCACCTGTGATTGTGCCTTGTATTATCAACACCATTCTTTAAGATTTGCCAGTATTTTGAAGAATGCTTTACTGGAGTCATCTTCAAGGGCTTGGTATAATTTTTAACATCCCGCACAATAGCAGAGACCATTACAAAGTTCTGAAAGTTATCTCAGCAGGTAATATAATACATTGTATATTTGTATCCATTTGTCTCTGGTATTGAGAAAAAAAAATTTCAAGGCCACTTGGGTCTGCAGAAGCAGTCATAAATGTAAAATGAAATGTAAACAATGTTTATACTTGGCTGCTGCAGCAGACAATGTAAAGCTTACTATTTACAGGACTAGTTGATCACTAGTCTTGCTAAGTGTTCATTGTCACTCAGGTGATTGAGATGTAATTACACAAGTATAAAAACTTGATATGTATTAACTTTTTGATTGTCAAAATCTCTTCACTTACAAAGGCCAATAAGAGGTGAAACCCTATCCATTTCACATGATCATCCCAAGGTTCTCAAAATGTATTTTGAACATACAGAGTGAGGTGGACTGATCTCACCTCCTCTGTGCATATATATATAACTTGTTCTGAACTTACCAGTTTGTAATTTCACTTCGAAGATGAATTGCCACCTAAACTTTGTGCTTTTTCCTGTATATATATATATATATATATATATATATATATATATATATATAATCATCATTACAGTATTGTTCTGAATAATAGAAGATAGCATGTTTGGTTTTTTATTGACTCTAATATTTCTAATTTACTTTTTGTATTATTTGGAGGTGTGTATAATGATGTACTTAGAATGTCTAGAATTTTGTATTACACCAGAAAATAAGTATGGCATCAATGATTGCAATGCCTATGATACTGTTTTAGTGTAAGAACACAGATGATATATAAAGTACATAAATAATAAAACTACATTAAGCTTTCTATTATTAATACTGCAGTCTAAAAAAGATTCCAGTGTGTTGTATATTACACGTGATTTTATTTTTAGAGCATAAACAAAACAGAATAGAAAATGGCAACAGCATATAAATATTGAGAATTATGATGAACCTAACCTACTCCTATCTAAATAAAATCATCTGACACTACCCAAACAAAGTACAGCTACTCCTCGACTTACGACCGCCTCAGTCGTACCAAAAATTTTTCAAATTACAGTACAGTATTACCCCGCCTAACGCGGTTTCACTTAACGCGTTTTATCATATACGCGGTGCCTCGCCAGAGCTGAACTTTCACTTAACGCGGAATTTTTCATCATATACGCGGGAAGCGGCGCGGGCACGATGAGCACAAGGTCGCCCAGTCATCAAAACATTACCGAGTTCTTCACCCGCCACCCACCACAGCCGGCCCAAGTCAGTGATAGTGATAATTATAGTGAGGATATGGACTTATATGGCCTTTGAGGGGGTTTGACAAAGAGGCCCTGCAAGCCTCTGTGGTGGATAGTGATACAATTGATACAAGTGATACAGGTGAGGGCCAATAATCTGCCCTCTGCCTCGGAACCAACCCCCCATCCCCGTGTGCCCAGCCATCTTTTCTACTAATGCAAGTGTTAAAAAACCTAATATTATTGATATTTCTCTTTATTATTAATTGTGTGTGCATACCATCATAAAGTTAAGATAAAATTTTTACTACAACATAGTTGTGTGTCGTTAAAAAGTGGAGTTTGGGGGTCGGGCCAGTCTCTATTGGAATTAATCCCATATGTTCTGTTGTTCACTTAACGCGGTTTTCACTTAACGCGGTACCCTGTGGGTTCAATTGACCGCGTTAAGCGGGGTACTACTGTACATATTTTCGAGTCCCAACTTTAGTAATTGCGCTGTGTACTGACAAATTTTTTTTTTTTAATTCCCTTTAAAATGGCTAGCAAGCTTAAAAGTGAGAGTTTTGTGGTGCTGAGAAGAAAAAGAGACACCCATTTTAGATTTTCTATGTATTATTTTCGCATTATGACCAATTCGACTTACGACCTGGATTTGGGTCCCTAACCCTGTCGTAAGTCGGGGAGAGACTGTACCTATATAGTATTAAAAAGTGGCATCCCTGTAGTGAAGGGGTTAAGGAAAAATATACATGGAAGAAGTGTCATTGAAAAGTTGGGAAGTATTATTACGGGAAGGATGTAATCTTGAAGATAGAGGCAACTTAGAGATGGTACAGTAATTCTTTCTTTCTACAATTTCCTTCCACTGCTTTCTCTTTCCTCTCCAGACCACATCTTTCTCCCTTCTCTCTCTCTCAGCCCAAACAGTGCCAGCAGGAGAGGTTCACCTTATGGCTGTGAAACATGGACTTAGAATAAACCAGAATCCTCTAAAACTCAAGCTACAGAGTTGAGTTACTCGAGAGATAAATCTGGGATAGACAGAGTGGAAGGTTTAATAAGGGGTAATAATGAAGTAACATTATACTGAAAAAAAAATAAGGGAAGGTTAATTGGCCTAGTGTTCACAAAACCTGGTGTACAGTATTTTATAAGAAGTTTTCATATACAGGTACTGTGTACAGTACTAGTAGAAAAACTCAAGGACTTCCAGGATGTAATTCGTAACTGTTTAGAATGAAATAACAGACATTTAATCTAGCTTATATTAGTTTAATATTCCATTATGAAAATGTGAATGTATCACAGACATTTCCTCACAATCCTTAATGATTGCAAAAAATAATTTATGATAATCAAGAAAAGATATACTATAATAACTTCTGAAAAAGCTGATGCTATTTATCTAAGAGAGTTCTTTGTGTGATTATATCATGATCATTGGCATACAACTCATTTATAATTCTTGATGAATAAAATCTAAAGATCTTATCTTAACAAACCTGTTCAGATCCGACTGTCTAAGCCTTAGACTCTAGGTCATTTTCTCCTTATCCATAAAAGTACATTACAAAC